TTCAGCTAGCCAATTGGCTTTTAACTTTATATTTTGAAAAGTATATAGCCCTGTTTGACAACAATTCCGTAAATTTTTTTTTTCTCACTCATATTTAACCAAACATTTTCTCAATTGAAAAAATTCTTCACGTAAACTCAAAAAATTTTCCTACTTTTTAGCCACGCATTTTTCAAAAATTTACTATTCAAAACTCATTCTAAACAAAAAGTTGCTGCCAACACATGGGCATAATTTCACAACATTGTGCTTCAAGAAATTTAAAAACATTTTGAAAAATATATCTTCTTGTTTATCGGTACTCTTTAGAGATAAATTTCACCTTTTTCGGAATATGCTCATCACCTATAGGCAATTAGCAACGTGTAAAAGGAAAATAAAAATGGTCGTCCATAAATTTAAGATTAACTATATGGAATCTTCTATATTCTACACTAAAAGAAAATTGACGACTATATGTTTAACAAATACCAAAAATGAAAATAAAAATAAAAATGCTTTAGGCTTATGTTTTGAAATAAATCAATGCGTTGCTAAGTCCATATAAAGCTTATTTGACGGAGCTTTAGATAAAAATATTAATGGATTTTGATAAAGTTGATGAAATATGTGAGTGAAAATTTGATAAAAAAAATATAAATTTCATGAAATTTGTGTTAGTTGAAATTTGATCAGTTAAAAAATGTGAATTTCACTTAATATTAACTCATTCTGTCATCTAGTGTGTTTAAGCTTCGTAACTCTGTTCATCAATTCCAATCAAACTGCTCCTCAAGTCTCTTCCCCACAATGGTACTGTAAGTGTTATGTCCTAGGTCCAATCAATTTTGGACATAAACACTTTGAATATATATATAATCAATGCATATGTATGGCAATATCTATTATTTAATTGAATTAATATTCTAATAAATTAAATAATAGAATCCGTAGATTCAAGTCTTGGTGATTTGTTAATCACAAGGAGTTGTGATTGTGAGATACAAANAGTTGTGATTGTGAGATAGAAATTATATATGACTGAATCTTAAATCGTCCGTGGTCGAAATAATAACGAGATACGGATATCGTTATTACGGATAGACTATCGTGTGTTATTCTTACTTGTGAAGTAAGTAGCTGATCTCACAAGTTAAAGTGTTGTGACACTTGAATGAACACGTGGATGTTTTGTTATAAAACAAAACATTGGAAACTCGCTGAAAGATTCCACATGGATAACTATTTGAGTGTTAGTGGTTAATCTCTAACGTTCGGTAGTGGAATTGATCCTTTGACTCGAGGTCATCATGGTACCTTATATGAGGACAGTCATAATTTGGTGGTGTTGGATGTTGCTCTGCCAAGGGTCGCTAATACAACATCGTTCGGGTATGTCAAGAATCATATGAAGGTTGTGAATGACCAATAGAGGATTCGTCACTCTTAGATAGTAAGAGATTATGATCTACATTA